AAATGTTAACTAAAACATAAAATCACAACTATTAATAAGTCAGGGCTTCAGAATGTGACAAAAATAAAAATGTGCAACAATAATGTAATATCGGGAAAGTTTTGTGTGCATCCATATGCTGTTTCACCATATGAACCGGTTCTTTTTAATGAGCCGTGTTGTTAAAGGGATAGTTCACCTAAAAGTGAAAATTCTGTTATTTACTCACCCTTGTGTTGTTTCAAACCCATAAGATTTTCGTTCCTCTTCGAAACACAAATTAAGAAAATGTTTTTTATGAAACCTGAGAGATTTCTGTGCCTCCACTGAAAGTCCATTCTACTGAAACTTTGACGGTTCAAAAAGTACATAAAGACATAGTGAACATAATCTATATAAATCAAACAGTTTAATCCAAGTTCATATCAATTGCTTTATATGATGAACAGATATAATTTAGGATTTTATTTACATATAAACGTCAATCAATGCACAGCTAATCAAAAATAGTAAACAGAAAATCAAACATACGTCAGAAGACTTGATTAAACCGCTTAATTTATATGCATTTATTTTACAATCTTTTTATGAAATTGTTTTGTGGAATGGACTGCACTCAGTGGAGGCCTCGGTTTTTCGAGCAATTCTATAATTTATCAACAAACCAAACATTTGGCTTCCCTTCATCATTTTTATTGTTTGTTTGTTTGGAGTTTTATATTAAGTGTGTAAGTGTAAGTTTTATCTAAAACTTCATATAGTCTTAATTTCAGTTAAACTAAAATGATCATGATTCTAAATATTATTGAGAGCAGTATTGTTCAACATACTGAAATAGTGTAATGTTGGATACTGAAATCTAGACGTCAGGTAATTGGTCATGTATTGAGTTTGTTTGTCTCTGATGGTTAATTGGCCTGTTTATTGCCTCTGTTTGTCTTGGCATTAGTAAACAGTGTTATCTCAGTGGGGTGCCGCCACATCTGACTATTCATGAGCACGTTACATGTCAAGCCTGACACTCTCACAATGACTCACCAGCCACAACAAATGAAGGTAAAGGCTTTTGCCCACAGATTCAGTGGACTACCTTGCTGCACTTTTTGTGTTTGCAAAACACTTGTGTGCTCCTTACAAGACAAAAGACTGCTATTTATAACTTAATCTGATGTTACATCATGGGTGAGTTTCAAATAAAACAACACTTTAAGTTGATATTTTTAGGTGCATTTCTCTCACCTGATCAGTCTTTCTGTCCTCTTTGTTTTGAGGTCTAAGGTACTAACATTACTATTTGTTAGCGTTTACATCAAAGACGACGCCAGAATTGTGGCTTCTCCTCAAGATCTATATGGCTTTATGTTGCTCTCTGAAACAGCCCAGCTTTGAGTGAAAAGGTAATAAAAAAATCACTTCACACACAATAACTCACAGGGCTTCTTTTGCGCTGGAGACTGGGTTCAGGGAATACTTTCATTAATCATGAAGCCCAGTACGGACTCCAGTACTGCTGCTCCTACTGAACATACATAACTGTCCTGGCAGGAAGAGCAATCGCTGGCCCCACGCTCGGCATAGGGCTAAAAACATCACGACCTGCTGCGTGCTGGGAGATTTTGTGAATGATGGGACCCAGCTGAAATGTCCATCAGTGAATGTATGTGGCATTTGGATAGAAGGAAAACAAAAAGTGTGACTTACTTAAGCCAAGAGTGGTGTATTCTTGTATGGCTGGTCTTCAACTCGTAGCACATGAGCCATAAGTGCCCCAGAGGTACTGAAATGTTGCATTATCCAATATTTCACAACAGGCCATGTTTTCTTTTTTGTCTTGTGATGATTCATATTAAGTCCGAGAACATTCAGTATCATAAAGACAAGAATTTTGCAGTGATCCATGTTAATGCTGTTGTTTGCTTTATGAGCTCATTGTTTGTATATTGTTTCTGACAATTGTTAGAGACAGGTCTATTGTGTTAGTATATGTAAAATAATATTATAATGTCATATACTATATATTGAAGATAAGCAGAGAATATGACAAAAAAAAAACTTCATCTAACAATATAACGCAATTTTTAGACATTTATTTTCCTTTTTCTCAAACTAACCCACACACATTCTCTGTATTTCAGGGCCCTGTAATACTTGAAATTCCACTACTGTTCAAAAGCTCATTAAAGCTGCATTTCTTTGATCAAAAATACAATTATATTGTGAAATATTATTAGAATTTAAAATTACTGCTTTCTATTTGAATATATTTTCAAATGTAATTTATTTCTGTGATGGCAAAGCCATTACTCCAGTGTCACATGATCTTTCAGAAATCATTTTAATATGCTGATTTGGTGCTTAAGAAACATTTCTTATTATCAATATTGAAAACAGATGAGCTGCTTAATATAAATTGTGTTTTCAGGACTTTTTGATGAATAGAATAGTTCAAAAGAACAGCATTTATTTGAAAATGGAAATATGTTGTAACATTAGTGTCACTTTTGATCAATTTAATGCATCCTTGCTGAGTAAACGTATTGAATTAAATATCTTGCTGACCCAAAATCTTTTGAACTGTAGTGTACAATATCATTATATTTTTGCAATTGCTGTTGGGTAAACAAGTGAACACAATAAAACCACACTGACATTCATTTAGGCAAAAAAAGTTCAGCTGTGTTCTCAGGACCATAAAGTTTCTAAAATTACAATGTTACATTTCACTACTTTTCACATTTCTGCGTTTCATAATTGCCTTTTACTGTTAATATACTGTATAATAGGCTGTTTAATGAAAAGTTTCATTGTGACTAACCCCATATGGTACACAAAAGGTCAGTGTGTGTTTAATGAACTTAATCTCTTTTTAGTGCAATAATGGTGGGAATATTGCATTTTTTAATTCATCTTTTAAAATTTTTATTTTTGTGAATTTGTCCATTTTCCAGTCTTTGTACTCTGATGGATTTCATGATTATTGCCCAGAGTGAATGATTGCACTGATTTGCAAAATTTGACCATTGGAATTTAATTGCCCCTGTTACCTTCAAATCAAAAATATAAATTAAAAAAATCAAGAATTACAGATTACATCTAACAGTGACGCGAAATGTCTGACGAGTGCTATTTCCTTTTGGTACATCACCAGTTGGACGTGTGGGTAGAGAGCACGGAATAAGGCATCCACAAGAAATACATACTAAATGTGTTTACTTGTGTGCCGTTATTCTAAAGAACACATTGTGCTTGAATGCAGAGTAGGGCCAAAAATGTCCATCAAGGAATCGTCTGGAGGAGAGCCATTCATAATCAGGACGTAAATTGTCAGGCAAGAGGCATCATATCACATTCCACACAAAGTCCTGTGTGTCTTGTTTTTGTTTTTGCTGTTGCACTTGCCAGCTTATCTTAGAAATGTCTTTCACGAAATTCATGTACTATGCTGTGTACAAGCCAGATTTTTTCTATTCACTGTGTGTACTTTATGATAGTTAGTGAGTTAGAAAGCATACTTTCAGTGATTTTATACTACTAAACTATGAGCGCAAATGTATTTTATTTTAAAGAAAGATCCAAAAGGAAATATTTAACGTGCAGGTAAATTTTTGTAATCAATGTCCTTAGTGTTTTAAAATTACATTTATTTTCCACCCAATTGCAGGTCTGTAGTGTTGGGCAGCAGAGAGATCCGTCTCTTTCACATGTCTCACTCCCCCAAGCGTGCGAGGGTCTTTATTAATGAGCGTGGCTCACCCCAGAGGGTCAAACCCATTCGCCCTGCTGATGGATCTCATCTGCACCATAGTGTGGTGGGATCTTCTGCCTCACATGTGCTGCACCATCAGTTTTACAGTGAAGCTGTGGATCCATAAAAATGATGGACCAGTGACCAAGAGATGGATACAGAGATTACACTGTAACAACAGTCAATACAAAATACTAAGAACTTAAGTAACATAAAAGCTTGTATCAAGTAAGTCATAAAATAAAATTTAAAAAACTTCAATTCTTATTAGATGCTTTTAAGCTCATTTTAAAACTCATTACATAAACATATATAACACTCAAATTGCTAATGGTTTCTAATGGCTTCATTTTTTTAAACTATGCATCCCGGTTTTATTTTTCAATAAATACTGATATTTACTGGGTTTATACAAAATGTATACACAGTCTAAAACACCTACTTACTTAGTGCTACTTACAAAATTGTAGATGAAAAACAATAGAACAGTAAGTTTACTGAATTTTCTGAGTTTACTGTTACTCCAACAGTTGAGTAACTTGATAAAGTTGTGTTTTGTGTCAGCAGAGGAGCTGAAAAAGGGTTAATACTAAACCAGAATATTTTTAAACACTGCTTATTTTGTTGATTTACTCAAAAACATTGGATATAAGATCATAACTGTAATTAAAAAAGCCTATTGCCAATTTTTTTTTTTGAAAGACATTTTACCCACAAAAAAAAACCTATTCCAAATAAATGCTGTTCTTTTGGACTTTCTGAAAGATATCAGATAACAGAATTATTTCTGAAAGGTCATGTGACACTCAAGGCTGAACGACATTAATATTTAGCTTTACCATCACAGAAGTAAGTTACATTTTAAAATATATTAAAACAAAGGAGCTAAGAGAATGGAAAAATTAGAAACACTAACTTTTATTACCATAAAATAAAAAAGTGCTCCTCTGCATGTGGCACACAGCTAGAGAGCGTTAAACAGCTTTGCTGCAAAGCACACAGACATAGTGTTAGTATGTCGGCCATAACATCTCTGTGAGTCATGAGAGTATAATACTGTTGAGTTCTGTGCCCTTCATATTCACAACAACAAGAGATGCTAAGACAAAGAACAATCATTGTTTAATTCAGAGGTTTCTTAATTAAATTATTTTTGAAAGGACAGGAAACTTTTCCTGAACTTTTGAACAGGTTATAATCACGGTTCACGGCTGATATCTTTGTTGTTCCAATAAAAATTTAAATAAAAACCAATTCATGAAAGTAACTGGCTGTATTGTTATTTGGCAAAAAAACTGTTCAGATCAGCACTAACAAGTTCAGAGTTCACACGGCCCAAGATATGTTAGCTGCATGTTCCTTCGCCTTCATCCGCAGCACAGCAATGCTGGAGGACCGCCGTTCAAACTCAGGTTTGGTCTCAAACGCGGCGTGACTGTTCGGTGAAGGAGCCAGAAGTGAATCGGCGAAGAAGTTATTGAGAGACACTCCAAACTGATTTTGCTGGTGATTGGGGAAGCCCACGTAACCGTGCTCACTGGCTCTCGGCGAGTGGGGGTAGGGAGACGTCACGCAGGGAGGGGAACCACGCGGGATCATGCAGGACGAGACTACAGAGCTGCCTGTAGTGGGACCTGTCCATAAGTTGTTGGAAATCTGTTTGGTCAGGGGAAGGTGGAATAAAGTGAAATCAGAATGCATGAAATCATAAAATCACAACACTTTAGGGCTTCTCACACCCTGCTCTCTCAGAAAAAAAAGTACCTTTTCAAAAGTTACACGTTTGTACATTATCTACCCCTAAAGGGTGCATAGTAGTAGGTGCATCTTAATACCTTAATGGTACATATTAGTAGGCTACCTTTTGAAAGGGTACCAAAAACGATGCTAGCCCTGCTCTGGTGAAAGGTTTCATAACCCAGGGTAAAAAGCAGCGCTAACCCCGCTTCTAAATTACAAGAGTGAAACTCTCCTCTACCCAGGGTTAAAAGCGGAGTGTATAACGACAATAACGTGGGGTTAAGAGCAGTGTGAATAGCCATTTTAATAAGCAAATGATTGAAAGACAAAAACACTTTAGAACATGTCTAAATTCAAATGGAGTTGAAAAAACTTAACAGGCTTGAGCTGGGGCAGGAAGAAATGCAGCAAAAAAAATCCATAATCAAAATAAAAGAATCCAAATGTTTGGAAATTCATGGAACATAAACATAGATTGCGTTTTGGAAAGTTAATTCAATTTTAAAAAATAAATCGCTGCATTTTAGTATGCCTGGGAAAATGCTTCATGACAAACCGAGATGACATCATATCAGATACACCCTCAATCTGCATTCAAATACAGTGACAATTATGTCCAAGACTTTAAATAAATCCAGACCAGGCTTTTAAAAACAAACCCTGCAGCCCACAAAAATGCATTTGTGTTCGCCACGAGAATCTGAGCATAAGACAAACACAAGGCTTAGCACCCTCCCACCTCTCCTTACAACATGCCCGGTGCAATAAGGACCTGTCCTGTTAAGGCACAGGCTTTTTTAGTGTGACTATGAAAAACACACGAGTGAAGAATCTGCTCTCTGACGAAAAAAAAAAAGAGGTCCCGTGGTGCCATCTAAATCTTCATCTCCTACCCTCGCAACAGCTTTTGTCAGTTAGCATGAGACAGCTCTCTGCAGTCTGACTGACTGCCCACACCCGTCAAAGCTGTTTAAAGCTCGAAAGGCTAAGGGCTCTTGTCAACAATTCATGCATTGTGTTTGTGTTAGGAAGGACCATATGCGATTAGCTGAAATTTAGTCAAATGTTTCGTGACTTTACAGTCAAATTTTGTAATCGGATCAATAAATACTCTGCCACCTTGAATAATTGTTTAACAAAATAGATAATGAAACCTACTTACACAATGTATGATAAATGTGATTATTTTTTAGACAGATAATGTATATATAGAACAATAAAGACATTTAAATAATGCACAATAGTAGTAGACAGCCATGCATTGTTTGATTTATATTTGTTTTTTGCAAACATTTTGCAACACCATGGTGCAGATAAATAAAGTGAATCACCTGTGAATAGCTGTCTGTCCGGGGCAGCATTGATATGTCATAGGTCGCTGCAAAGTGGCTTTTGGCCTGCTGGATCTGTCCATATCTTTCTCGCTTCCTCCACTTGGCTCTTCTGTTCTGGAACCACACCTAAAAAGAAAAAGAAAAGTTATTTTTCCATGATGTAAAATGAATGATTAAATATTGAGATAAAATGTATTCTTTAAATTTGTGCTTACATAAAATGTTATGTATTTTTTATTTTACTTTATTATTATTTTTTGTCTTTCGTTGTTATGTCCCGGGTTTTTTTAATATGTTGGTGTAGTGTAAATGTCAAGCCATAATTAATTACAGGGCTGTGACATTAAGTTCATCAATTATGACAGGGAGGGTTACTAATTTTATCTGTTGCAAACAAATACAGATCCATAACTAATAAATGCCATGTAAAACGTTTTCATGATAAAAACATCTTTACATCCATTCATTTATATTTTTAATGAGTTTTCATAGGTTAAACCTGATTTTGTTAATAAGATTTAAAATGGTTGAAAAAGCACAATGAAGTGCAGGTTGTACTGCATCTTTAGCACCACTTTCATTTTAGCTTAAGAAATTAAAGTTTTCAATTATAGTTTTTTTATGCTTAGGAATGCATGCAGGAGGACTCCATTTTAAGTGAAAACTCAGGCTTTTCCTCAAATATAATGATGTTATTCTCAGACAGGCCCGCCGATGTCGTCCAGGTCTGTTTTGTCTGGTCCGGCTGCGGCCTGTGCGACTCTGATACTGCAGCAGTTCTCCATCGCGTGCAGGCTGCTGTCCTCAGTTTTAGGAGCGCAGTAACTCACAACTGATTATAATTAAAATATGGGTAGTTGACAAAATTACACAGTTTCAGCAGCGCCCTATGCACCACGTAAACTACATCTAAAACATTTTTAAACACTTAATAATTTGCTCATAAGAAACCGCACGGAGTAGTTTTTTTATGCCTGTGCGACTCTGATACTGCAGCAGTTCTCCATCGCGTGCAGGCTGCTGTCCTCAGTTTTAGGAGCGCAGTAACTCACGCCTGATTATTATTAAAATATGGGTAGTTGACAAAATTACACACAGTTTCAGCAGCGCCCTATGCACCACGTAAACTACATCTAAAACATTTTTAAACACTGAATAATTTGCTCATAAGAAACCGCACGGAGTAGTTTTTTTTACGTTACATCGTATGATAATTTCAAAAGGTGCAAAAAAAATTAGGAAGTAGTGGTGACCTAGTGGTGACAGCCATGCATTGGTTAATTTTATTTATTTTTTGCAAATATTTTTGTAAAACCATGGTGCAGATAAATAAAGTGAATCACCTGCGAGTAGCTGTCTGTCCTGGGCAGCATTGATATGTCATAGGTCGCTGCAAAGTGGCTTTTGGCCTGCTGTATCTGTCCATATCTTTCTCGCTTCCTCCACTTGGCTCTTCTGTTCTGGAACCACACCTAAAAAGAAAAAGAAAAGAAAAGTTATTTTTCCATGATGTAAAATGAATGATTAAATATTGAGATAAAATGTATTCTTTAAATTTGTGCTTACATAAAATGTTATGTATTTTTTATTTTACTTTATTATTATTTTTTGTCTTTCGTTGTTATGTCCCGGGTTTTTTTAATATGTTGGTGTAGTGTAAATGTCAAGCCATAATTAATTACAGGGCTGTGACATTAAGTTCATCAATTATGACAGGGAGGGTTACTAATTTTATCTGTTGCAAACAAATACAGATCCATAACTAATAAATGCCATGTAAAACGTTTTCATGATAAAAACATCTTTACATCCATTCATTTATATTTTTAATGAGTTTTCATAGGTTAAACCTGATTTTGTTAATAAGATTTAAAATGGTTGAAAAAGCACAATGAAGTGCAGGTTGTACTGCATCATTTAAAAATCTGGAAAATGTAACTTTTAAAAAAATCTTACATTTAAATATTGGTTAAATCTGCAATATGCACTTTTCAAATTTAATTCTTACAAGTTATTTCATCATAAAAGTACTAATAAGTAGGCTACAACAGCTAAAAACATTTCTCGTCGGAAATGCAAAGCTGGCCAATAGCTTCTAAATGTAATATCTTTTGTTTTACATATAAACATAACGGTTATTAAAATATATTTTATAGATTGATGCCAGGAGAACATTCTGACTTGCACAAAGAACTTTTTATTGTTTTTTACTTTAGAAAGCCACATATATTGGTACTTCAAATAATCTAGACTCTAGACTTTGACCTGAAGAAACTATTAAGAACTTCATTAGAGAACATATATAACAACTTCTTTATTGAACTAAGGTTTTGTATAAAAACACTAAAGAATCTTTCAATATTATGCAAAATGTTTTGTTACATTTTACAAAGACGAAAAAACTTTGTGTGCTTTTTTTTTTTTTTTAAGTCAGACTTACTGTTTTGGTTGTCACACGGAGACGATCTGTCCATGGTGGTGTGTTGATCATTGCTCTGCATCGAGAAGGCCTGGACGCATTTAGGTGATGTCTTGTTGTAGTACTGCACATTGTCTAAAGTCTCCATGACTTGGTCCATGTAGTAATCGCTGCCTTTAATCGCTTGACTTTTCAAGGAGAACTTGTCGCTCAAGTACTCCATCATGATCCTCTGGCCTCGTCTCAAGCATGAAGCGCGTCAGTGGACACCATAAATGTTTTAGTGATGTCAAAAATGAAGCAATGCGGCCAATTATTTGTACAAGTCGTTAATTTGTCTTGTCTTAAAGAGACCGAGGGACTCTCTTTATACGGCAAAGAGCGCGAGCTTCAAGCAGCCACCCAACTTCTGAATATGGAGAAGCTGAAACTCCACCCACGCGCATGCACAAGCTCTAAGAGTTATGAAACTCGGTGATTACCCGAAATGAAACAATTACACTTGCTTTCGCTTTCAGTGTGTTTGGATATCCCTAATGATTATTTAACTGATAAATCTGACCGAAGTAGACATTGCGCGCTAATTAAAGTGTTAAACCGTGTAGCCTAAACGGCCTCGTCTCAAGCATGAAGCGCGTCAGTGGACACCATAAATGTTTTAGTGATGTCAAAAATGAAGCAATGCGGCCAATTATTTGTACAAGTCGTTAATTTGTCTTGTCTTAAAGAGACCGAGGGACTCTCTTTATACGGCAAAGAGCGCGAGCTTCAAGCAGCCACCCAACTTCTGAATATGGAGAAGCTGAAACTCCACCCACGCGCATGCACAAGCTCTAAGAGTTATGAAACTCGGTGATTACCCGAAATGAAACAATTACACTTGCTTTCGCTTTCAGTGTGTTTGGATATCCCTAATGATGATTTAACTGATAAATCTGACTGAAGTAGACATTGCGCGCTAATTAAGGTGTTAAACCGTGTAGCCTAAACAATATTAAGTATTTCAGTAAACAAAGTTGGTGATTGTTTAAAGAACATTTAGAGTAGGCTATAAAGTAAATCTTTACGTTAAGAGATTTTTCTTTACCTTTGAATAACTTTACCTATGCAAAGTTAAAGTTATTAATAAAGTAACATCATGATGACTTGAAAAAACATCAAAACTTTTTATCAAAGATAGCAAACGTTTTTAGAAAAACTGTATTTCATTATTATTACTGCAAATAGTATTTAGCTACTTAACTTGGAAAATAACACATTTGTTCCGACGTCATTTTTAATATTTATTTTAACTACTTTTTTATTCATAATGGGGAATCATACGTAACTTTTAGGTTTTCAGCTTATTTTATTTATTTGTTTATTTTAATTTACGGTATATACAAAAAAAAGGTTAGCTGCGGTTTCCAGACACGCATTAGGGACGGCACTTGGGATGGTGATAAACACATTTAGGCTACTTTACATTTAATTCGGTATATGCCATAATGTTATTTAAATATCTTATTTGATCGATTATTAGAATTATACGAATGATTATAAATTGATTTATATATTTTTCTTAAATAATCTTAATATTTTTAAAGTATGCATATTACCTTAAATAAATATATACATATACGTAAGTACATAAATATATACATTTTCAATAAAATAATAAAGTAGTACAGCACACTTTTACTTTTATCAAACAAACCAGTATTACAATCCAGTAAAACATGTATTGTCTTTAAAAAAAAATGTATTTACAATCTGTTCTTACATTTTTTTTGTTAAATAAATATATACATATACGTAAGTACATAAATATATAAATTTTCAATAAAATAATAAAGTAGTACAGCACACTTTTACTTTTATCAAACGAACCAGTATTACAATCCAGTAAAACATGTATTGTCTTTAAAAAAAATGTATTTACAATCTGTTCTTACATTTTTTTTTTTTTTTACAATGTGTACCTAACAAACTTTTAACTTTTTTTCTCAAAAATGTAAATATATAGTCATTATTTATAAAGTGTACGTTACTTTGTAATGAATACGCTATATTATTTAACCCGCCGCACTGGCACGACAAGCCTGTGTTTGCAGGTCTCATGAAATGACAATCTGAATCTTCCGACCAAGAGACGAATAATATCACGGCGGCATTCAGCGCGTGTGATGATGACCGGACACATTCATATAACCGCAAAGAAATCCTATTACTATGACCTAAATAAAAATAAAATAAAGTAAAATAAAAGCTATCACTTTCTCACACTTATTAAAAGCTATACCCTCTCTAAGTTCAAGATAATTGATCACAAATATGCCTTAACTGAGTGTTAAACATTATCAAGTTACAAATATATAGAGATTTTGTTCTAGTGGAAAATATCTTGTATAACCTAAGAAAAACGCTGACATACACGCGTAATATAGCCTATAAAAACGAGCCTTTTATAGCGCAATTTATTCTGCTACGTTTATCAATTATTTCGTTCAGTTGACACGCTTGGCTTTATCCAAAATCCACTGATGACGCAAACAACGTAGAGCTTTCCACACTCCCGACAGCAACTGTATAGACACGCACAGTGAGCATGAGGCCGATTTTTGCATGCGAGTTTGCAAAGTTCGGCACCAAAATGATTTTGCGACCTCCTGAATGTCTGTATTTCAAACAGGAAAGGCGTCATCTGATACCACCCTCACTCTAAAGAGTGTGTAAGAGATCACACATAGAGGAGCCCTCTTCTCTCTACCAGCAAACCTTACCACCTGCCAGGCTAGCCATATCTAAGGGTCACTTACAATGCTTGGGGTTTGATGGTGCCACTCCGAGAAAAAATGAAAACATTTTGGGGGGGGGTTATTAAGGCTCTGAAATGACCTATTTGGACCCCCTTGCTGAGGGGAAAATGTGAGAAATTCTGTGTGGTTTGTTGAAATTTTGTCTGCACATTAAAAGTAAAGCACATGACAGTGCAGAAGATGCTGTGAGTTACGGCCTAATTTCACCCGGTTAAGTACATAAATGCTTGCAATAATGCAAAATCAAATAAATTAACGCTTAAATCAAAACATTAAAGCTATTAAAATATTTGAAACATTTACACATCACAGAGCAAACATTCTCCAATTTGAGTCTTTATTATTTATTTATTCATTTTATCATTGTTGTTTATTATTTTCGATTTTGCAAGCATGCAGGCATTTTGGACTTGTAAATCTTTAAAATATGTTTCAAACCAATTATTAATTCACATGTGTTAACTTAATATATAAAGACTAAATCACATAAAAGTATCGATAGCACTTTTTATTACAGTCCTGTTTCGCATGTACATCCTATGTACTTGTTACAGTAATTACAATAACTGCTAACCCTGAACCTAACCTAACGTAACCTTATACAAGTACCTTATGTAAGTACAGGTAAGTGCACATACTGTAAAATAAAGTGCAACCAAAATATACATAATGTCAGCTATAATTTGTATGGAAGGACCCCTGCATGTCCTTGAAATGATAAAAAATATAATAATATATAATAAGTAATATATAATATATAACATGTAGTACAAATGACTGAGGGATCTTATTAATCTGAGCTTTGTCAAATTGGAACATACAGATGTTAGTGTAAAGTACATTCTTAAATCATATTAATGGTTTTGTACAGGCCAGATGAGGCTTTCAGGCCACTGACATGTTTGCCATTGTTTATTGCCTCTCTCTGTTTCTCTCTATCTCTCTTATGTACTATGAACTGAATGAATCTCTGGTGAAAGTCAGAGGTCAGTACGAGCGTGTCAGCTGGGTTTGTGTGCATACGCCTTTGCAGTCACTTAAGTAATTAAAATTATAATAAATGGTTTGGCCACAGCCACTTCTTCCAGCTACTGCGATTGAGCTGCTCAAATCATGCCAGATGCATTGAGCTTGCAAAGTCAAATTTGGTTCGAAAGGCCTCTTCACTTTAGTGTGAAGGATTATTCAGTGAGTATTTATTTTCCCTATAATGTGTTCCCGGGCAGTTAAATACAACGTAGTCTATTAGAAACTCAAACAAACCAATAGGTTTTATATGACTCTGAAGGGATTTACTAACCCTATTCAGATCTGCTCTCGCTGGAAGTTGAAAAAATTATCTCTCACGGTTTTCCTATTTTTTCTGTGGGTAACAACTGGCATGAATTACCTGCTGGCATCAGTCTGCGGATTCAGTCTGTTATTCTGAGATTCAGCAAAAGTGGAAACTTGGAAATGTACTCTTTGGAGTTCCACTGTAACCTTTTTGCAGTCATAGTCTGTCTGTCTATCCAACTATACACTTTATCTATTCTACACTCTCAGAAAAAAAGGTACAAAGCTAACCTTGTGCTTTTGTTTCTTTGCCAGAGAGTGACTGAAAGGACTTGGTCTTATGGATCCTCCACAGGCAGATCGCTATCACGGTTTTCCTATTTTTTCTGTGGGTAACAACTGGCATGAATTACCTGCTGGCATCAGTCTGCGGATTCAGTCTGTTATTCTGAGATTCAGCAAAAGTGGAAACTTGGAAATGTACTCTTTGGAGTTCCACTGTAACCTTTTTGCAGTCATAGTCTGTCTGTCTATCCAACTATACACTTTATCTATTCTACACTCTCAGAAAAAAAGGTTCCTTGTGTTTGCTCACTTGAAAATAAATACACCCTCCGGGTTGAACTCACTTGCTCGTGTCTGTTCTCCTTTTTCCCCTCAGGAACGCTCTACAATATATATATACTGTATATATATATATATATATATATGCACACATATACACAATACGGGGCTGTTGAATGTTTGAATCTGATTGGTTGACGATCGTTCTAAGGTGTGCAATTATTTTCAGGGAAACGCATTGCTAAAGTAGTTCCAGGCAGGTCCTGACCTCATGACCTCAGTTATTTCAAAGATTCTTACAGCCTACAACAGCAAAAGAACCAAAACCCACAACGACACTGACCAAGCTAATAAATAGGATACAATAGGATAAAAATGACAAATTATTTCCATGTTTTGGCCACAGAATTACATTTTATTATATAGAGAATGCGCATACTTTCTCCCACTCTCTCTCATACAAACGCACACACATATAGTACTGACACACTCGCACACATGGAAACATACACCTGCACAGAAATTAATTAATCCTATTAATCCTACACACAAGAACGTTTTGAGGACAAAAAATTGGACAAATGTCTTGAAATACTTCATCTGAACAATGACGTGAGGTGTGGTGACGCTTCGCGTCGTATAGCCACATCACCACCTCCGGTGTGCATTATTTTCTCATAATTCAACTGCCCATCATCAGTTATTCCTCACTCACACACACACACACACACACATATATATATATATATATATATACACTTGTAGTTGCAAAGTTTCTTATAGTCAGTAGAATATCTAAGTGTAACAGTATTAAATGTATTTATGTGTACATAATTCAACAAGATAATACCACAGCAGTCAGCCAGTGTCTCTGGATTAAGTAGGAGACCTATGGGCCGTCTGCCCAAACACAATGCCAAAACTCCCACTAATAAAGACATCCCTTTTCAAGATTTATTTTAGCATTTCTATAGGCATAAAAATTAGCTCCAAGCTGGTGTCAGGAAGTTATTTTCCAACCACTGTTTCTGAACACTCAAGCTTTTTGATATCCAAATGAAAATACACAAACAAGGATATAACCAAGCCATTCACACAGAATGCATATTCAGCGCATTTTCTAGACGGACAAATATGACTGCTGCACTCGCGTCTCACACAAAAGAGACAGCCATGCAAAGTTAAAACAATTTAAACTTTTAGAAAACACGTCGCAAATTTCAAAATTTGTGGAGGTTTATTCCTTTTCACTGCGTCTCATATGTTTTTAAAGGCAATCTGTGTGATGGGCGATTCGGCTCTTTGTATTAAGCAATGCATAAATACATGATGCTGTTTTGTTCATAATTGTTTATGCAATTTACGAAATTATATTTGATTTATATGAGTTAATTTAGACGTAATGCACGTTTTTTATAGACAGTTACTTCCTTGCGTTGACAATTTAATGTGCTGCATTATTTTGCTCATTGCGCCCTCCTGTGGCCTCGGGAGACAAGCCAAAAGTTTAACCTATTTAATCTGCATATAAAACATTAGAAATTGTTTCTATTTTTACATTGTTTAATTGTTTAATTTTTATTTTGTTTTTGACTGTTAAAACAAAAAATATATTTGTTGTTTGTCTCAGTAAATTGAGTTCTATTCAAAGAGACACATGTTGTTGCCTGAGTTCTGTGGGCCGATATTTAATAAAACGGCCACACGCTCACTTAACCGCTGTGACCAAACAAATTGTTTTTAGCCATTTTGCTCCTATTACCTTTGAAAGAGGGCAAAAAATGAGGCACTGGGAGACTTCCTCTACACATAACGAAAATGTTTATGGCTCCCTAAACTGTTCTTTATGGCTCTGCCCCAGTAAGTAGAGGGTATCTTGTTGCATTAAACCTAAGTAGTATTTATAGAGTCCTTACTGTAATTGAACATAGTACTAAGCATGTCAACGTTGTGCTCATGACCTAATGACTCACGATGATTTAATTCAAATGACAAGAGGCCTATGAGGAGCTGGGAAAATTTGTTTTACGTTGGCCGATAAACAGCCTAATACACAATGGGAATAAAACATTCCTTTCAGAAAATGAGTATTGATATTTGTGTATTATAGAGGAATGGTTTTGTATGTAAACTGTAAAGTGAATTATCCGTAAATAAATCTTTCATTTCAGTTCTCTTTGATCTGCAGCCTTCATACTGTTAAACTCTCTCCAATAAATCACCTATAAATACTTCTATGTAAAAGGCTTGATTCAGTCCGTCATTCAGACAGCCAATCAGTCAGTCATTCAGTCAGTCAGGCTGTCAGCATCCTCGTGGATTTCATTTTCAAATCATCATCAGAATCCAATTTAGCTTCATTAGGACAGACAGTGAAAAGCCTTCACAGTCTGACGTGACTGTGTTAAATGCGCTGAGCCCTGCTTGTGTCAGTCAGTGGGATCTTTGTCAGGGTGAGTCCTCAGTGGCATAGTGTGTGTGACAGAGCTCGCACTTAATCAGGGAGCTGTCAGAGGTCTCTCGCTGTCAATTTCCTGCTGAAAGAGAGATTATTCCCCCCTGTCCCCTTATCGACCCTGGCATGTCTGCTAAGGCAATTATACACATACATATATAAATATATATTCTCAAGCATACCTGCATTTACCAGAAGCATCAAAATCATTTTTACATATATAGTGGTTTTCAACTGTGTGAAATCAGATTTGTGTGATGTTGCAATGGGTTATCAAGTGAGCCAGATGATGTGTACAGTCACGTCAGTTTCCATCGTGTGCTTCATGCCACACCCACTGCACTCTGCGTGCAGTATTTGATTTGGCACATGACCGGCATGATTTAACTTCACATCATTGTGTGAAGTCCGCAGTGTTTTAAAATTCTTCCTTAATTAAGCCCATCCCTTAACATTTCATAAAATATTACTGAAATAAATCATACAGAGATGATGCTCTGAGTAGAACCTGAAAGCTGGCGCCGAAAAAGAGATATAGTAAAAAAAAATGTATCCAACAGTTTGCTCTATGTATTCATAACCGAAGTGGGAGTTTGACTGCTTTCAAAAAACATGCTTTTTTGCATGTGTGATATTATCAACAATGCAGGCACAGATGTTTCTAATGTTAATGGGACTTTTGCATACTTTATAACTTTTATTTTATCAGTGAAATATGGTCAATGTTTGGAATAATTAAGATTTTTTAATGTTTGTGAGAATAAGTCCTTTATGCTCCTTTAAGGCAGCATTCATTTGATCAAAAATACAGTAAAAATAGTAATGTTGTGAAATATTATTACATTTTAAAATAACTGTTTTTGATTTTAATATATTTAACAATGCAATTTATTTCTGATGCAAAGCTGAATTTTCAGCAGGTCTTCACTGTCATACAATTCTTCAGAAATCAATCAACATTAAAAAAAAACTGTAATTATACCAAACGTTTGACCTGCATATAGAAGAAAACAGTATGTTTTAATTTTATATTTTCGTATTTATATTTATTATTTATTCTATGTTATTTTATTTTGATAGTATGCATTTTAGTGAAATGCCCTTAAGTAAAAGACTCACTTCTGTTTTCAGCTGAGTATCTTCGAGGCTGAGTATGCTTTTTAAGAGGTGGAGAGACACTAGTGGAGTCAGCCCAAGATCTTGCTCCCGAATCTACACCGTCTCTATCCCCTATGGCCTAAAAAAAAAAGATACAATAAAGTATAGCCAACCACTCACACACATGAACATGCATAAATTCACTCTCCTATAATCAAGTACTTACAAAGCTAAAAACAGCAGCAATTGTTAGCACGTTTTCAAAGTATTTAATTTGCATGAGACTTTAAATTTAACTTCACAGTTAATTAGCACAGCATCAAACAGTACTTGTGAAAAAGTGAACAGTGCCATGTTAGTGTACAGGTTTAAGTATAATAAATAATAAAAATAATTTTCTTACCACAAGCTGCACCCTCCCACCATTAAGAATATCCTGGTCAATATCAGGGAGGAAATGATCCCTAAAACATTCATTGAATAGATTACCTCTAACACAATTTACACCACAGCACATGTGAGACCACTATAACTGATCACCATTATGAACTGTTAATAATTTATCTTCCATCTGTGTATATTTTTCAGAAGCATAGTGTTCAGAGCTGTGTGTCTCACCGTCCCGTGCCTGTGGAGTCTATGTCGGGATGGACTGCTTGTGTGTGGAGCCACTGGTAAGTTCTCTCCTTGCAAGGTTGTTTTTCCTCTGCTTTCGGTAATTTGGGAACTTCTTTTGCTGCTTGGTGAACTGCATTTGATATAAAACAAGAAGAAAAGCATACAAAAGAGTTTTCCATTTAAATATTTACAGAAAATAAACATTGCATTTTGAAGGGAGGGTTGTTTGCCAGACAAGTCCTGATAAGCACCAAGTTAATCAAAAAAGATTTGGACTGTATCTAAGAAGCAGAACAAACAAGTCTGCGAGGTAGACTGGACATACAAATGACAGTTGTTTCGGGAACTGCTGTGGTGCATATTTGTGCCTACTGAGCAATAAAAGAAAAAACAAATGAGTACATAGGAAGTAGGGAGATTTATGGACGGTGTCAATACGTCTCACCAAAAAGCCCTTATTCAAAATAAACATGTTCTTGGTGGAGACTAGCATGAATTGATAACAACTTCTGACGGCCACGTGCTGGAACTAATGAGCCATTTATTTAAGTCATTTTCATGGTTTTGCCAAAAAGTAAAGAGCAGACAAGGTTTATGGGTTACAGTTGTCATGGGTTAATTGAAAATCCACTAAAAATGTCAAGTGATTAACTCCTCCTTAAGGGCTGAACAAGAAAATGGGGAAAAAAAGGCAATCCACATTTATTGCTGCTGAAATGTCCTGAAGTGAACAGTTATCCAGCATTAACAGTACGTATGCACTTTCACCAGCTATGATTTTGAAGCTTTTTCATACACTTCAGATTAGTAAATGCAATAAACAAATAAATAGAATACATTTAATACAACTATTTGGACCCACAACATTTGGACACTAATCAAGAACAACATAACATGCTTGAATTTCATAGCATTCAATAACAAATTATCCAGCCAAGAGGACCCTGCAAACAAATCATGCTTTTCTCAGAACTAGCCTAACTTTACTTAGTCATTTTTTAACCAACTGGCCCAAAAGTCATTTTTACTTGAAGAGGGTGCTTGTGCTAATTTTCTTTAAAATAAATGACAGCTGTTTTAATTGTTGTCTAATACAATAATATTCACGCATATTAAAGTGTGACGGTGTCAAAATACTTTTGGGGCCACTGTATGTAAAATAAGTATTAGAATAGAATAAAATAGAATAGAATATTGCAGTTTAAGTACTTAGGCTTGCTTACATGTTCATGTAACATTATTTATGTATATAAATAGTTCATTTGTAGCATAAATCTCTTTATAGATTTAATATAATTCGATTTCAACAATGATAAAAATGTTACCTCAGTTCATAAAGTGTGATTCATAAAAAGTGTGCATTAGGAGAGGTTCATAGTTCAAAAAGTATTATTACAGTATTTGCTGAAAAGTTACAAAACTGCAAGAAAAACAGGGTAGACGTTGTGTGTATACAGTGAACACAGATTTAAGGGAAGAACCACAGATTTAAGGGCGTTAACCACAGATATTATATGATAGAAACACATGCAGCATCCAGTAGCTGTCAAACCCGCTTCCCCACATCTATCCCACCCTCAGGACATTAGGGGGCCCAGGAGTCACGGCTGTTAGAAGGGCTCTTAAGTGCATTAGGCCGTGTAGTGCTGTTATGGCGGTGCAGGAGTCAGAGAATCAGCTCTTTCACGGGGGTCAGGATGACAGAACCGAACTGCTGGGGGTGGATTCAGAGGAGTGACTCAGTGTCCTTAAGGGAATCACTCTGTGCAGGTATTTTCAGAAATCCAATACCAATACTGAAGCAATGACACAAGGTCAATCCTGACAAAACCAAGATAACAACTGCCCTGATATATATATATATATATATTTTTTTTTTTATATGTATTATTTTTTAGATATAATAGATTAATGGATATATATTTTGATACTTATATCCCATCTCATGTTATGTCTATCAAAAATGCTTCCACAGATTTTCCAGTTATTTCTGGGTCTGACTTATTAAACTGGAATTTGGTGTCCAAAATGCCTAAATTGTTTCATTGCAATGAAGACACTCCATGCACACACGCATAGGCTATGCACAATACACACTGTGCATGTCGGGGATTCTTGAGTGTGTGTGTGTGTGTGTCTATGAGACATACCCATGGGGCTTTGATTGTTGGGGAGTTCTTCGAGCAGACTCAAAGAGGGAGGTCAGTTCTTTTATCGTGAGATTCTGTCTCCCACTTTCCTTTACCCTGGGTCAAACCTTCACCTCCAGAGAGCAGACCACAGGCGGTCAACCAGCGGTCAACACACACACACACACACACACACATACACAAACACATGCCATGGAAAGGTTTGTATGTATGTGTGAAGCTTGTCAATCACATGAAACTGAAGCAATCAAAAAGTGCACTGAAATGGAGGCAATATTATAAATCTTAATGTGAGATTTTGAGAACCTATAAATCCTTAGTTGCACTGGTGAAGAAAAAAAGTTTATTTTAACTTTTTAAATTTAAGGACTGATGTTTTAAAAAATTATCTCTTTTATCTATTTTAATTAAAGTGCAAAAAAATTGAATAATCTTTTTTAGAAAATCTTAATGTGACATTTTGAGATCCTTTAAATCCTTGGTTACAATGGTGCAGAAAAGCAAAAAATGCTTTATTTTAACTTTTTTTTTTTTATTTAAGAACCGATGTTTAAAAAATTATCTCTGATTATTTTAATTTCTTTTACCAAAGTACACAATAAGAATAATTAGTAATTAGTTGAGGAAATGGAAGGAATTTGATCAATCTTAATTTGAGATTTTGAGAACCTATAAATCCTTGGTTGCATTGGTGCAGGAAAATTTTTTTAAATAACTGATGTTTTAAAAGTCCTCTCTGATTATTTTTATTTATTTTACTAATGTGAAAAAACACACCAATAATAATTAGTCATTTTTAAAGTGGATGGCTAGATATATGACCTAAGTAAGACATTGTATGTCAGTTCAACTCTTTCAACTGATCTAAAGTATTATTTTCCACAAAACCTGACTCTCTTCTGTGATTTCCTCGCAAAGGAATCCACCCAAACCAAAAGCATCATCTACTTGAAAAGTGACACAGTGCCAAACCCAGCAGATACAGGAGACTGGAAATACATGACACATGGTGCAAATCAAACACAGGAGAGCAGCGAAAACCTGCAAGTTAATGCAAAGCAACTTTGCTGCATTTGACAAAAAAGTGTCAGATGATTGCATTTCTCAAGATTAAAAATGCTGAAACCAACATAAGCAGGGCATCATGGAACTGTGTGTCCTGGCTTTGGGGTTGGGTAAGGCTACCTGCTCTTCCCCTCTGCTGACCTGCGGAAGGCACCAGCAATTCAACCCCAACCCCATCAGGGACGACCCCAAGCCTCAGGCTACAGGCTGGCCGCCGCTCCCCTGCTCTCCCCCAGCAGGGGCTTACATTTCAGCCGAGCGCTCCAAGCCCCCTTCTGGAGGTGATTAGCCCCCCGAAGCCGTGACAGATTCTTTCTGAGATATCCGCCTCACTCGTGTTTATTTTATCCGAGCTCTCTTTTGTGGATGTGCTGGACATGAAGTAACCCACTTGAAAATGGGTATCGGCTTACATACGCCACGGGACTGGCGGAGGAGTCAGAACAACAACAAAAAAAGTAAAAGAAAGAAAGCAACCGTTCATATGTAAAGAGGATATCTTTCCATTTATTTGCCCTGCTCTTTAACATGACCCTTATCTCTTACGCTCGACCCCCCTCGGTAGCGTCGTGCTGAAAGCCCACCCCCCTCGGGTGGCACTAGGGTTGCAGACGGCACTCTCTCTCATTCTGGAAACCCTAAGTGCCCTACCTCCTCTGTACTTAACTCAATTTCACACTTCAGGTCCGCTACAAAGTCTCCTGAAATACAATCATCTTGTTTATTCTCCACCATCCCAAACAACCTAATAGCTAGCTATTTACGATCCCATCATGTGCATTCAATTTGATCAGGCGATGTGTATGTTTTCGTGTATTACACGCAAGGTAGATCCAAGCGTGTCCCAAATGACTGGATGGATTCAGCCCATGGGGAATAATGAAAATGGATCAGGTCTTTTAGAATTCAGGAAATTATGCAAACTCCATTAATTGTTGTCATGTATATTACAATCAATTGAATCAACTGATTTATATGGAGAATCCGTTTATTTATCGAAGAATAAATGTATTCGTATGGTGAATCATTTGATCAGTACTGTGTAGTATTCAACTTCATATGGTGAATCATTTTATTCATATAGTGAAAAATGGATCCATAGGGTGAATAAATATGATTCATATAGTGATTCAATGCATTCCTATGCTGAAACAATTTTCAGTGTGGAAACAAAAAAGGCACAATTTATACTACAAAATGGCATAGAATAAATATGCAAATTGAGACACACATATTCTTTTAATTTTAGTGACTCATTTGAATAGTAAATCAGTTGATTCCTACAGTACAGAGATTCAATTGATTCATATATTGCCACAACAGATTCATAGGTGAATCAACTGATTTGTATAGTGATTCAACTGATTCATATAGTAACTCAAATAATTCATATAAATATTTGATTTGTGGTGCATATATGCCTGAATTCAGCCATACCTTTAAAGTTGCCCTTGAAAGTAGGATGTGTTTGCCTTTGAGTTTCTGTGGAAACATACTGGTTACTGTGGTGTAGACGTGGATTTGGGTCTAGAACACATAACACAGACAGAAACACAGCCACAAATGAGATCATACGAATGCAGGATTCATTGAGGAGACAAGCGCAAACAGAAAACTGACAGAAACCAAAGCTTCACTTTCCATTACGAGACCAAAGGGCCCATGGAGCAGTGGCTCTGAGATTTTGACACAGGCCCTCATTTCATGGGGCCTTGATTGGATTTGTGGCATTAGAGTCACGCACTCCTGACCTTGATCAAAGCCGGCTTCAGGCCAACCCTGGAGGATCCAGACCAGGAGCAGGACTACCGTGTCTGGGATTCTTCTTATACTCACGGCCCATTGAAATTACGAGCACTGATGTTTTCCTAACTCCTAGTAATGAAGCTGGTTGTGGGCCCTTGGTGCTCAAAACACGATGGAATATATGGAAGAATGGAAGCATGTTTGCAGACAGCCAATCAAACATGACAAGGCATGGAGCAGGGTGGAGCTGCTTGATGTTATGATGTTATGGCAGATTTAGCTTCTCATGGAACCACAAGCTCTGTGCTAGTATGGCACGACAGCTTACCAAAGACATAGAGAGGGAAAAATTATAAAAAGGCCTTGAAGGCTGGCATAACGACTTAGGAAATGAGCATTGTTTCATTAAATGGATAGTTGACCCAAAAAATGAAAACACTGTACACTACAGTACAAAAATATTGAAAATATTCAAAGGCCCCTTTCCAGTTGTTTGCAATTTAATGAATAAGGATAAGCAATTTTTTTAATTTATTTTATTATTTTTTTTTTTTACTCGAAATTTCAACCTAATAAAATATTTTATACCTTGGCCTAAGTAGAAAAATGTATATTCATGCAATGTATAATCTCAGAAATCACACCTTTAATATTAGTCTACCTCACAGATCCAGGTTTTTCAAGACAATATGTACCCTGGTTATTAAAAGGGAAAAACTAAAAATATAGAAGTATCTATTGCTTTTAGTTGTTTTATATGATTTTAATGCTTGTTTTTTTTCTCATTTTGAATCATTTAAGTCGTCTTGAGGCATCCTAAGAAGTTTGCTGAGGCCCCCTGGCCCCCGATTGAGATGCACTGATCTAGGATCCAATAAAGGATCTACTGAATTAAAAATTTTATGATTTTAAGCATAACTCATAAGATAGATACATTTATTTATTTAGTTGTTTCTTTAACAGGGACAATGCAGAATAAAATTACAGATGCTCTACATATACAGGCTTCTAGCCAATGGCTAGATTGATAGATAGATATGCCTACCAATTAATCTCTTCTGCTGCCGTTTCCTGCCCTTCATTTTATTGGCTCTCTTCAGCATGAGAAGGGCAGTGGACTCATTAGTGATGCCCCTGAAATAAAAGTTAGCAAGAGTAACTACACTGGTCTATAAACAGTTTTTTTTCTTTTTTAATGCAGAATTAAAAATTATTTTTCTAATAAATTTATTTAAAATTGTGGCACTGAAGTGGAAGGGCTACACAAAGTAGCACAGAAACATACCATTCTTTGAGGATTTTTTCTGATTTCTCAGACAGGGTGTGGGTTTTGAGGATTGATCTGGGAATTTTTTTAGAAAACCATAGAAAATGCATGAAGCAATTAGCAGAATGTTAATTTAAGTAATGATCAGCATTAAACATGAAGTCAATGATTACCTGCTACTAAGGTGAGGCGACATGCTTTGCTCCAAGCAGGCTGCACCTTCTTTATCTGACCAGGCGTGTTTCGGCTGCAGTGGAAAAACAGATAGGGCCTTTGGAGGCATCGGAAGACAGAGAGGAGACTAAAAAACACAAAGACAGTCAAAGAAAAAATAGAATCAGTATGCAGTTTCTAACACAAAGACTTGCTTAACGTGCACTTTCAATTTTTTAAAGATAGATGGTATTTGTGCAGCTTAGTTACAGAACATCGAAGTGCATTCAACAATCTCTACATCTCCACAGCAGCAGCTGCATCACATCACAGTGCTGCTACCGTGATAGAAAAAGCCAGCTCTCTCTAAAGAAAAGAAACCGCAGGAGAAAAAGCACTGTGCTGAAAAATGACATCTGCTGACGAGAAGGAAGTTTGAGGCTGCCTAGAAAGTAATTGTGTTTTTGGAGGCAATAAATTCGGCACTTAATCACCCAGAGAGACTCTGATTGTGCCGGCCCACAGACAGAAGGAGGGTCCGTAGGGCTGTTACCTTTGGCAACGGCAGCTGTTCCGAAAATGGCATCATTCTGGCCGGTAAGGCATCGGAATGCAGGGTTATCCAGTCTTTCTCCAGTGCTTTCTATTTACAACAGGACACAAACAAAATCAAAGAGCTGAACATGGATTCCAATTTCAAAATGACATCTGATCTTTACAGTTGATAAAGTGCATCTTGATGTTTTCATTATTCCTTCAAAGCAAGTAGCAGATCACATTAAGCTAAAAGCACTGAAGTAGTTTCCTGTGTGTGACAAACACTTGAGAACATATCTACTCTAAAACAGATTTTTTTTTTCCCTGAAGTCGTGACAGACAGACATTTGAGAGCCAACACACAAAAAACTCCAGAATTTTCAGATGTAGACCAGTAATGCAGAACAATTTAACATGACATCGTAATACACTATAATGAATCGCCTAATAAGCTACACAGATGAGCTCACGTAGTGTAATGCATAGGTTAAGCCAATGTTAAGTTGAGTAAATGTGATGCAAATGGGCAGAAAATAGCAGGCGACATAAGAAAAAGAAACAACATTTTCCTTCCCTTTTTTCCCACTCATTGACTGCTCTTTTTCAATACCTAATCACTGCTGACAGCCAACTGCCTCATGGCTATGAGCGCTAGTTAAAGGACTGTCAGCGCAACGGCCCAGGCTATCTGTCTACCGACTTCACCGTAATGGCAGGAGCACCAAGCATCTGCTCATACCTCATCAAAAATGAATTCGTCCATGTCCACTTCTTCTAAGTCCTCATCGCTTTCTGTGATCTGAGCGGCAGCTAGAGCACGGGCCAGCTTTTTACGCAGAACGCAGCCCCTCCATGCAGCCTGCAGGGGCAATACACACAGCCATGAATCACATGCAAGCATAAATATTGTGTGTTATCCCATTAGGAAGATAAAACATGTTAACCTCTGTTTAATTGCCCCGCGGTCTGCAGTTTGAACTTTCGGTGACTTTGGCTTTGTAAGACAAATGTAACACCGGGATGCCTTTAAATCTGCGTATTCCCCACGGGAAAAAAAAGACTTAACGGATCAGAACCCTAGCGTTCCCACTCCAGCGACACGTTGGAATCTGATTAATCATTTTTTTCTTTCGGTTCGAGTCCTTGGAGACTCATTAAACACAAAGAGAGAGAGAAAATATCCCTTAGAAGTTACATGTGAAAGAAATAGCCTGTTTTCAAAAGCACTACCTACCGACTCAAAACAAGCCCCCATTGGAAGTAATAGGTGAAATGAAGATGATTTAATTTTAGTCAAGTTATTTATTGCATTCATAAAAGGAGGTATGGAAAACACCTTTTCAGGGATATATCAAAACCAAAGTGAACAGAGGGATTTTTTTGTGGAAGGAGCTAAAAAATGAGTCTCACCTGAATAACAATAGCAGCACGTTCCCTCTCAGGCCTCCCAATGAAGGTATCTTCCACCTTATTAAGATCTGATTTTGTGTTAGTTTTTTCAATTAAGCCTGGGAGGCCCTCATGTCTCCGCAATACACATCTCCTCCGCCAGCATCGCTGGATCGCCACAGCTGCCGCTCTGAGTAATAGCGGAGAAGACAATTTTATCTGATGACTCACCAAGGTCATGAGAGACTAAATGAATGTCGCTGAACTCAAGCCTCAGATGATTCATCTGCGTTAAAACATCTGGAGAGAGACCCAGCAGGGGTCCAATGTCATCCGAATTATTTATTTTGATTACCTTTAGCTAAAATTAAATGTACCTTGAAAAAAATGGAAGATGCTTGCTACAAACTGAAATTAAATACTGTAAAATTAAGAGAAATATTGTGTGTGAGAGTCATACATTTTGAGGTTCAGTGCCTGAACAGGTTCCTTCTCACTTTGTGTCTGCATGCAGTAAGCAGATCGTAGCTCAAGGTCAGCCGGAGAAAGTTGAATCTTTTGTGGATTGTGTTTCTGCCAATCTGCTGTATGCTGAAGTTGCTTCTTTGGACTTTGTCCCTGTGATAAAGATGCTTCAGAATAACCACATGAACTACTGTTACCAGCTGCCGCCAGTGTAGAATCTTCTGTGACACAGCTGTCGCCGTATTCATGGGCGTAGCGCTGGTCCACCGCCAATCTGAACAGGTCTGTCTGGTGACCAATGGCAAGAATCTGGACGTCATGTTGTGAGGGCGCAGAACTGTGTGAAAAATGCAGGGGAAAAGTACAAATGTCATATATTAGGAGCCTTTCACACAAAATGCATTTTTGCATTCCACTTCACTGCTTGTAAACTTTCTATGTAAACACGCGCTGGACAGACATGTTTGGCGCTCAAATTAAAAGAACTTCACAAAAAACGCATCTCTAGAGCATGCATTTTCTTTTTCATTCCAATGACCTGCGTCTCGCATTTTTTTAAATGTAAAATTGCACATGTGTGAATGACTCATTAGAATCTTGGTAACACTTTACAAAAAGGTCACATTAAAGCATTAACTAACATTAACTAACAATAAGCAATACATTTGTTACAGTATTTATTCATCTTAATGTTAGTTAATAAAAGTAGTGTTCATTAGTAGTTCATGTTAGATCAGTTCCACTATATATTAACACATTTTTAATAAAGATTTGAATAATGTATAAGTAAATGTTATAATTAACATTTAACTTAGATTAATAAAAGCTTGATTAATTATTTTCCATTGCTAGATCATGTCAACTAATGCACTTAACTAATGTTAATAAATGGAACCTTATTGTAAAATCTTCTTGAGGAGGATTTAAACTAGCAGAAAATAGAAATCAGAAAATTTCTCGCGCGATGTAAAACTGACATATAATGAAGTTTTTCAGGAAGTCTCTACAAAGGTGTCTCAATACCACTCTAATTACTCTATTAGCCGTGGCTAGTTCGGCCCCTCCTGCCCCTGACCCTTGAGCCTGTCTCTGCTGTCAACATCAGAAAGCTCTGTCACTATAGAGTCCCTGCTATTCTAATCCTCTGACACGGTTAAGGGGGCATCCGCACCCCTCCAACACACACTTCAGTCCAGAATAGAGTCATAAAAAGAGCCTTGCAAGAGTCAAACGCAATGTACATTTGTACTGGGAAACAAAACTACTGTCGAAACATGTTGAAATCCGGTGCAAGGACAGAGATTTATAACAAAATGGCTAATTTGATTACCTCATTAAAAGAAATTAATGTCAAATTGCATATACAGCCAGCAATGAACATTCTGAAAGCCAAACATTATTACAAGTTGTAAAAAGTGTGCCAAGGCAAATAAATTCAATCCTAGACCTTACACAGGTCCCCTACTTACTGCCTTCTGAAATTACCTCAGAGAAAAACCGGGAATGAGTTTCTTTTTTTAGATTGTTTGAAGAACCAATGCAGCTTTTGCAGTAACACAACATGCCTATTTATGATTCAGTGGCATAAATTCCATTTTATTGCCATGGTTTGATGACATTAAATGAGTCCCTCAGTTCGGTCTGTCACTCTAATCAACACAGGCTTTGGTTTACCATTGTATGGCGGTCAGACGGCAGAGTCTTCACCTTGCCAAAGCTGGGGACTGACACTGGGTCAGGTCAGATGTTAAACGGCTGCAGCGGCCCCCATGGGTGTGCAAAAGACCCTTTGTGCAGAGCACGCAGCGGAAGGGTTAAGGGGGTATCTCTAAAGTCCTCCAAGCCATAAGAGACCTCAGTTTGAACCACAGGACACACAGATGTCTGCCAATCATTTCATGAAACATGGTGAGTGTTCTGCTTTATTTGCTGGTGGTCTGCAGCAGTGTCTGAGGGGGCTTATGTATTTAAAGAAGTGGATATATACCGTATTGACCCAAATATAAGACGATGTTTTTTTCTTGGAAATGCATCTGAAAAAACACGGTCGTCTTATATTCAGGGTCTAGACTTTGACATGTCAATAATACACCCACAACACTAGGTGGCGCCAAATACGCATAACATGAGTGTGCCATGAAATACGTAATGTAATGTGTGTTGTAAAGATCGCGAGTAAAAACAAAAGCAGAAAACCTTACAGCTGCATGAGTCGTGACTGTCACGTTAGCCTGATGGGACCAAACTCCCTTTGTGATTTTAAAACATAAGACAGTACCCAGATTTGAAGACTACAGTAAGATTTAACTTCTACTCTTAATAAGATTTTGGTAGGCTACTATTAGATGGATAGCCTAAATGTCCTAATCCAGAGAGGCTACCTGTTGTTGTTTTTTGTTTTTTTTAATGGTATATCAAAAAGTGTATATTTTTTAAATGTGATTGTTGGTACATTTTACCAGTTTTTACCATACTTTCAAAACAAAAATTAAAATAGGAAAAATATGCAATATGAAAATACAAAATGTGCTTTTAGAGCACGCAGCGGAAGGGTTAAGGGGGTATCTCTAAAGTCCTCCAAGCCATAAGAGACCTCAGTTTGAACCACAGGACACACAGATGTCTGCCAATCATTTCATGAAACATGGTGAGTGTTCTGCTTTATTTGCTGGTGGTCTGCAGCAGTGTCTGAGGGGGCTTATGTATTTAAAGAAGTGGATATATACCGTATTGACCCGAATATAAGACGATGTTTTTTTCTTGGAAATGCATCTGAAAAAACGCGCTCGTCTTATATTCAGGGTCTTTACCATACTTTCAAAACAAAAATTAAAATAGGAAAAGCAAGCAATATGAAAATACAAAATGTGCTTTTCTGAGAAAAAAACAAGATTTGGTTTTTAAAAAGCCTTTTTCCAAAAGGTACATCTGGGTCGTCTTATAATCAGGGTCGTCTTATATTCGGGCCAACACGGTAATATTTTTTTATTTTCAGCATGAATAGGCTCAAAGAACTAATTATAGATTTCTACATACCAAAATTAAAAAAATAATAATAATTAGGCCTAAATGCTCAGTTTAAATTTTATCTGCCATACCATATATAAAAGATTATTTATTCTTTAAATAATTTTACAAAAAGATTTATTTATTATAATAATAATTAATTACAATTATATATTTATTAAATATTTATATTTCTCAGGGCCTGGATTTTTCAGATTCCTTGCAAAGACCCTCTGCATAAATTATGATTTGTTTTCATTTACCTATTATTAAGATATAATTAAACTATAAACTAAATATTACATGCATTTTGCATAATATACTACAGGATTTACATTTTGACCAATTGGATCTATATTAATAATTTTGAGAAAAACTGAAACTGCTTGTCTACCTGATCTCCATCTTTTGCTGCTGGAGAAGTGAATCTCGCTGCTCTTGCTGTGCTTGACAGAGGGCCTGGAAACTCCACTGCTGTTCCGGACATTTACAGGGCGCTGCGGCAGCAGCAGTCTGCTCATTATTCAACTTAATCAAGCCAGGCACTGTCTCCAAAAGCAAGGACCTGAGGGAAAACAGGCATTTAAGAGATTTACCTGGTGAAAATGTAAAGTGAAACGACCACACAATGTGCTCAAAGCTTTTTGAAATGACTGGTTTAATTGTTAGTGACTGTTTATTTTATAATGTATAACAAAGCTAAAGCTTTAAAGCTAAAGTATTAAGGCAAAGGGTTATAATTGCAAAAAAATAAAAATAACGAGGTTTATATATAAAAAATAATCTAGATTAAACATAAAGAGGCACTCCATCTTTTGCTGCTGGAGAAGTGAATCTCGCTGCTCTTGCTGTGCTTGACAGAGGGCCTGGAAACTCCACTGCTGTTCCGGACATTTACAGGGCGCTGCGGCAGCAGCAGTCTGCTCATTATTCAACTTAATCAAGCCAGGCACTGTCTCCAAAAGCAAGGACCTGAGGGAAAACAGGCATTTAAGAGATTTACCTGGTGAAAATGTAAAGTGAAACGACCACACAATGTGCTCAAAGCTTTTTGAAATGACTGGTTTAATTGTTAGTGACTGTTTATTTTATAATGCATAACAAAGCTAAAGCTTTAAAGCTAAAGTATTAAGGCAAAGGGTTATAATTGCAAAAAAATAAAAATAACTTGAGGTTTATATATAAAAAATAATCTAGATTAAACATAAAGAGGTAAAAAGGGGTGGGGGGGGGGCAATCAGTTCATTTTTAATAATTATACTTTAAATAGCTACTTTTGTGAAACAATTAGCAGTTCTGAGCCATATGTAAGGTTACCGCATTGACTGTCCACTGCAATCATAAAAAAGTAACAGGTAAACTTTAGTTCTAGCCCCTCCCTGTCTCAGTCTCCATGGGCTTTCTATTGGAGAATATTTACATTGAGCAGATGAAATCAGTTAGGAAATGGGGATAAAACGTTTAATGAGTTTGACATTCTAGACCCAAGAGAATCAACAGAGCGTCTGTGCATTGACTAAGAGGTTTAGTCAGAGTCTGCCTTTCTCAATGATGACACTCGGGTTGGATTAGAAGTGAAAAAGGGTTTGCTGGCCTGATTCCAGAGATGTGACAGCCATGCAAGTGAGCCCATGTTGTTTTTTTGGGTCTGTGTTTTAATTTGCAAAAGCGTATGAGAAAACACAGGTGTAGCCTAGTCTTTGCTGAACCCTGCTGAGAGAAGTAAAATTAAAGATCCAAGGGTTGATTAATGAGTGATATATTCAGTAACAATGACATTAATTCATAGTTATTGTAGTCACTTATTTTATTTTACCAATTATTATTTTTTGCTCATTTATAATTATTTTTCAAATAAATTGTAGCTTTTTTTATCTGTTTTTGCATCATAATGAATACTTTTACTGATATAAAATATTTAAGAAAAAAATATAACATATACTAAACTTACATACTAAATTTTCTTTGTTATTATTTTTTACTTTAAAGACAGTAAAATATTTTTTCAGATGTGGTATATTAATATTCAGTTAATTGTAAAAGATACACTTGATGGTAAATAAAATGAAGTGTTGGCAAATTCTATCCAAGCTGATATTTCCATAAAAGAGAATCAAAGAGGATCTCTAAAAGCCAAAACATCTCTAAAGGCAAGCAGGCATTGTCATGTGATACACTTTTTGGCCATGTTGTCTCCAGCCGCCAGGTTCCTATCGCTACCAAAAAACTGACTCTATTCATCATCACTCATGAAAACTTCCCTGTAAACAAAGAAACTTACAGGAGTTTGATTAATCTAGCTAAAGTCTGCTCTCCCAGACTCTGAACGCTCGTGCACTGTGTACTTCTTTGAAATATCCTTCGGTGCTTTAATTTAGGCTGTGTTATCACTGGACAGGGATGAAAGGGCCAGCGGAGAGCGAGAAAAACACTGGGTCTAATTCCGTTGTTGGCATTGAGGGTTAGACAAAGTTCAGCGGAATACTGAGCCTAACTCGAGTGAACTTCCTATCCGTCATTACAGAATTAAACAGATGTAAAGACACAACAGAAATATTTCATCTCAGACTTCTCCTTGGAAGCCACATGCAAAATGTGGAAAATAAAGTTAAAAAAAATAACTAACAAAATAAACGGCTAGAAAATATCACATCATATTCAATTTTATAAGTCAATTTAGTAAGAACTTTCTGTCAGGAAAATAAATGTGTTGCCAACATTAAAGTTTTTAGGCCTTCTGAGCTATAAACTCATGACAGTCAACAAATCTCTTTGGTATGTATGATGGTATTTTTTTTCCCATTTTGACTGAATGAGCTGGATTGCTTCTTGAGAAATCCAACATGCTTCTATACTTAACTGATCTTCCTATTCTGTCTCTCACACATTTTTTCTACCACATAAGAACATATAATTTGCTCATTAAAAACTCTGGCACTTTAAGAGCACATATGCTTAAAAAATATTCCCCCACTGAGCAAATATTTACAGAATTACGAGCACTTAAATCCACGTGCGTACAGATGTCACTGGGTAATCCAATAGCGGACACAGATACAATGGCTGGTGCAGTGATATGAGCAGGAAGCTCAGCGGTAAAGAAGAATGTTTATTCTACTTTAAACGCCTGGTGCACTTCCAGCCAATGTTCCCGCTCACATTAGTTTCACATTCTCGGACAATTATGAAATGCTTAGTGAATTTTGCTGGAATGTACACGTGACAGCTTCTGCCCAATCCAAGATAAATCTCTCCATTATAAAAGGATGAACCACATTTCCTTTATATACTAATATTCGCTATCAACAACAAATATACTCCAGAATTTAGCTTAGTAGTTGCAAGTGCCAATAAGAAACTGAGAAAATAACTAACCTAAGTGTCACTCCTAATGTAAACGGCCCTAAACTGGGTCCTTGGGTCACACCTACCACCAGTTGCTTTCCTGCTCTAGTGGGTTACCAGTCAGGTTAAGTTCTTGAAGACTGGTGCATTCCTGAAGATTCAGACAAACATTCTGCAAATCTAAAAGAGAGTCAGAAAAGAGACACTTTGCAGTTTACGCATTTGAATGTTATCCAAATGTTAGCCATTCTGGGCTTAATTTGAAGACACTCAAATACTATGATTAAATATTTCTATGAATTAGTATACACCAAAATGTTATTCTCAATGGTACTTAAAGGAACAGTTCACAAAAAAAATGAAAATTATGTCATTATTGACTTATTTCATTCGTGTCATTCAAAACTTGGTTGTTTATATTTTTTCAGTGGAACACAAAAATAGAAATTTGAAAAATATTTATGATTCTTAAAAAAATGGCATGCAGAATCTATGCAGCTCTGTTGCATATAACAACAATATAAAGCAGGGGTGGCGAACGTCGGTCCTGGAGAGCCGCAGCCCTGCAGAGTTTTGCTTCAACCCTAATCAAACACACCTGAACATGCTAATCAAGGTCTGAAGGGTTACTAGGAAGCTACAGGCAGGTGAGTTTTAATTAGGGTTGGAGCTGAACTCTGCAGGGCTGGATTTCGCCACCCCTGATATAAAGTGTCCATTTGACTTGCACTATATTCTAAGTCGTCTGAAGTTTAATAATAGTTATGTGTGATGAAAAGAAAATGGGATTGGAAAAAATTGGAAAATTGGAGAAAAAAAAAATAACAGCATACAGGTTATACAGGGGAGTAAATTTCTGAAATTTATTTTTGAGTGAACTATCCCTTTAAGGATAAATGATATGAGTTATGGAAATATGAGAAGAATTTTAAAGAATTGTTGGTTTGTCACAAAGGTTATCCAACCATATTCAAGAATAAAGACCCTTTCAAGCAGCCGGAAAAAAAAATATCACAGTCGAGTCGACCCACCCCACCCCATAAGCTCACCTAACAGACAGTTGTGACTGGCATCCAACGTCCTCAGAGACACCAAATCCAAGAGTGGAATTAAATGAGTTACACTGAGGGGAAAGTGAACCCTCATTTTAAACAATAAAACATCTTAGCACTGTGTAGTTATAGGTTTTATTTTACATTTTACATAAGAACGTACTTTATTTAAATAAATCAATGACTTTACCTTTAAGTAGAATTTAACTGTAAGACCGTGTTAAGTTAAAAAAAAAACGAATTGGAAGAGACTCAAAACATTGTGAGCTGCCAACCTAGATCAATCGCCTACAGTATGATGCCCTAGGTAGGCAGCTCACTAGGTTTTAAGACATAGCCATTCTCCATTGAGGCCTACCTGTTATGGG